GCTTGTATGAAGTTTTAATTTTAATGGTTGGTTGTTTCAATGTTAATGTATAGTGAACATATTATTAAAAGTGTTATCCTTTTTATTTTCATCTTCTTTTTAAAGGACATGGTTCAGAGGTTTACATTACTAAAGGACATTGCAGTGGGAAGTATTGACTGAAAGATAAGAGTTCGTATAATAAGATTGTGGAAGCTGTCAAAGTTTAAGAATCCATTGCAAATAAATTCCTTGGAGATGATTTTGGTGGATGAAGAGGTTTTTTTTTTCATAAATTATAATACTTATAAATTTCATTGTTGGATAGTGTAGTTTTTATTTTTGCTTCTGTTTGAAATTTTCATCTTCACAAAAAAAATATAATTAGTGAAGATATTATTAAAAGTTTTATCCTTTTTACTTTCATCTTCTTTTTAAAGGACATGACTCAGAGGTTTACATTACTAAAAGACATTGCAGTGGAAAGAATTGACTAGAAGATAAGAGTTCATATAATAAGATTGTGGAAGTTGCTAGAGTTTAAGAATTCATTGCAAACAAATTCCTTGGAGATGATTTTGATGGACGAAGAAGTTTTTTTTTTCCATAAATTATAACAATTATAAATTTCATCTTCCGGCATAGTCATCATTTGTGAAAGCAATCGTCGGTGCACTTTGGTGCAAAGCTGAGGTAGTTAAGTGTATGTGGTTGACGTTGCGCAGGTGTCTTTTCCGGGCCGAGCTGTTGGCGCCCCCTCCTGCGAAACCACTCGCGATTGTACTGATTACTCCCTGTAGGGGAGTTGGTCCTTTTTCCTGGCTTACCTCGGCTCGCATTGCTCCGCCGGGGTTGAGTTGGGAGGCAGAGGGTTGTTCCGTGCGAGCTCCTGAATCATGACCTCTGTCTTGTCTTTGTCCTTTTCCTCGACCTTGGTCGGGGAGAGTGGAGTGTTCCTCTTCCTCATTACGGTTGTTTGTATGAGGGGGGTGATCAGAGTGTCGCCGCGGGAGTTGAGCGCGAATCCTTTTGTTTTCCGTGCGTAGAGTCGCTAGGTCAGCCTCATTGGCGGTCCGCATCGCGACTAGGTCAGTTTCGTGCTTGGCACGCATACTTTGTAGATCTGCGGCGTGTTGTTGTCGCATCTGTTCGACCTTCTCGATTAGTTGTCTTAATGCTGCTTCATTTTCCATGTTAGTGGTGTGATCTAGGTCGTCTGTTACGCGTCTGCTATGGCTTCTGGTGAAAACCACAAGCGTGGCCGATAAGAGCTGTCTTGATCGGCCCCACGGTGGGCGCCAAATGTTCTTACCGGCTTCCGGTGAAAACCACAAGCGTGGCCGATAAGAGCTATCTTGATCGGCCCCACGGTGGGCGCCAAATGTTCCTACCGGAAATCTGCTGTAGAGCTGATCCGCCAGGTAAGATCGGTGAGCCCCCTTCACTGGTACGTTTGTGTTCTAAGATGGTGGTGGTACCTGCAAAAGAGATTCCGATGCTAAAGTTAGTGTTTGTGGGAGTATCAGTCTCGTATAAGTAATGCATGTACCTTAGTGTGAATTAGGGTTGCTTTGGGCCCTAGGCCTGAGATAAGATATGATAAAATTAGATGATAGATCTCGTCTGGAGCGAGATTCCTTGAGATCAGTTATGATCTACTTAAATGCCGAGCTGACATCGCGTAGCGCGGTCCTGAGGTCATCTTGCGCTGTGGTGCCGAGCTCCCGAGCTCGGAGCTCGGCTTCGCAGTACGGACAGTACAATTGGTAACATAAGGGACTAAACAATAGTTTTAAAAATAGACTAAAAATAACGATTTTAAATTTAAGAGACCAAAAACAAATTCGTTTTAAATTTGAGAGACTAAAAACATATTTAAACTTTAAAATAAATAGTTAATTTAATTCCTAAAATTATAATTCACCGTTGTTTTAGTATGAGTTTAACGAAATAAAAAAAAATCTTAAATTGTATTTTTGTCACTCATTCTAGTTTTTTGGTCAAGCATATATACATGAGATATCAAGTATCTAAATGACAAAGTGTTACGTGAGTGTCTTTATGTGGTATACAAGTGTCATTTGAATGCAATGTGATATTATTTTATTCATTAAAATTACAACTCAATATTATTTTAATCTCGAGATGTTATTAAAATTTTGTTTTCATTGAATAATTGACTTTAATATTTATATAATAAAATTAATAATTTAATATTGTCAACAGAATGAGAAATATATTAAAATCATGATATAAAATGAGTATTTAACATTGCGTTTTTATTTTAAGTATGTTATATCTCATTTTTCTAATTATTAATTTTTATTCTTTTATTCATTTTATTTAAATAAATAAAAATTATAACTTCTCTATATTTTATCTTATTGTATAATTAATTCAATTATCAATTTATTTTGATTTTTCTCTATTCTAAAAAATTTATTATTTTTACCTCTTAAAATCTTCAGAGTTTATTATATCTTATATTTGATTTTGAATAATTGTAAAATAAATAATTAAATTGATATTTTTTTTATAAGAAGACTAATATATTTGACAACATAATATAAAAGTGATACTTGGTATTTATTCTCATTTTGAGTTTTTTTTGGTTATATATTTTTATAATATAAATATTTAAAATAAATACTTTTCTATATTACACTTTTAGAGTACAATATTAATTTTATAACTTCTTTGAAATTCAAGATCCAAGTAATGAAATTTAAAGTATATTTGATTTGAATAATTGTAAAATAAATGATTAAACTAATATTTTTTTTATGAGAATACTAATATATTTGACAACATAATATAAAAAGTGATACTTAGTCTTTGTTCTCATTTTGAGATTTTAATTTTTAATTTTTTAGTTATCTATTTTTATATTTATATAATATATAAATATTTAAAATAAATACTTCACTAAATTACACTTTTAGAGTGCAATATTAATTTTATAAGTTCTTTGAAATACAAGATCAAAATCATGAATTTTAAAGTAAAGAAACGAAAATTAGTTTTAGTAAAAAGCTAAAGAGAGAATGCAAAAGTATTTACCTACTTTAAATAGCATGATAAAATATTTTAATCAAGAGATAAATATGCTCCTGTTTATCAAGAGAGATAAATATGCTTTAACTTTAAGTCTCTATTAATATGTTTCTGTTTTGTTTTAATTTTTTTAATTTTTTTTGTTCGACCTTAGATATTTGATATTTTTGTAGTCCTATATTAACTCTAATTAGTTTATTATTCACATAAATAAATAAATAAATAAAATTAAAATAATTAAAGTAAAAATGATATATTATAAATTAAGACAATTAGATTATTTTTAGTTATATAACTTAAGTAATTTTTTATTAATTTATAAAAACAAGATAATTACATATAATTTTTTTATTTTTAATTTTAATATAATATGAGCATTGATTTTTAATTATTTTAATTCACTATTTTATTTTTAATATTAATATTTTTAACATATATATATAGACACTTTATTTTTTATATTCTTTTTTGTATTTAAAGGCAAAATCATTGTTTTTAATACATTAAAATAAGTTATATTATAATTAGTAAAATTAGTGAATTGAAATGTAAAAATAACATTAAAACTTAAAAGCATCGTATTAAAAAGAAATAAAAATAACTACTTATAATATATTTAAAATAAATTAGAACACAAAATTATATATAATTATAAATTTATATAAAATAATAAATATATTATTTAATTAAATTATTCACCTAAAAATAATTTAATTACATTATTTGTATTTTTGTTAACTTAATTATCTTAATATTTTTATTTTATTAATGATGTCAACACCAAATAATTAATTTAATAATAAAAATTAAAAAATAACATATCTAAAAATAATAAAGATTTAAAAGTGACAATTTCTTAAGAAACTTAAAAATAATGTTAAGAAATACTTTAAATATATTTGAGTATTTAATTAATTAATAATGTAAAATTATTGTATCAAATTAAACACTCAATTATAATATTATCAATTTGATATTTTAAATTTAAATTTTATCTATATTAAAATAATATTTAATTAGCTTTCACCAACGAAATCATGTTGATAGAAAAATAAAACATTATTATAACATATCAAAATTAGACTAACTTTTTTTTTTGAAGGGAAAATTAGGCTAACTTAATTTTACTTACTTAAGAAATTTAATGCGCTTGCCCACCTACCTACAAAACAACAATTATTATGTCTTGAATTGCCCTGCAAAGTGCATAACGAAAATGACAAATTGAACAGAATAATAAACATGACGACATTGACACGCTCATCCTTATCCTTATCATGCACCAAACTAGCAACTAAATATATCATTTGTAATTCAGATCAATAAAATTAATTAAACTTAACTAATTTTTTAATCAAAACTTTAACATTCTTTGAGTTGGTAAGAATATCCATAATTCATATTTTGGTTGACATTAAAAATATTTTTAAATACCTACAATAATAAGAAGAAGAAAAATAAGAAGAAAAATAATAATAATAATAATAATAATAATTATTATTATTATTATTATTATTATTATTTTATGATTCACACAATATTTTAAAATTAATGATGAAATTAATCAACATTTGTTAAATAACTTTTATAACCCCAAGCGTGTGGTTCGCGTTAAATCTTGGAGCCAGCTATCCCACCCTTTGAAGTGCCACCAACGTAATAAGGAGTTATCGACAGTGGATACTTAGGAACAAAAAAAAAATAATAATAAAATTATTTATGACAAAGGCACGACATATTTAAATATCAGACCAAATAAAGATATAACTAAAAGGTTACACTAGGTGCTAAAAAAAAATTCTAACACATTCTTTTAAATATATTTATTTTATTAATTGAAATTTATAATTTTTAATAAATTTAAAGGATTAAAGAAAATTTTATGAGAAATAATTTGCCACCATTTGTCAATTTAAAAAAAAATAGACGAAAAGAAACAACAGTTACAAGCAGAGCAATAAGTGTTTGGAGCACAGCATAATTTGCGTTCACCCACTCACAGTGAGAGTGTAATAAGAATAAGAAGAAAGAGCAACCACTCCACTCCACGTTCATTACTCCGAATTCATCATCTTCGTTTGAATTGAGATCGTAAATGGCGAGGAAGAAGATCAGAGAGTATCACTCGAAGAGGCTCCTCAAGGAGCACCTCAAACGCCTCGCCTCCATCGACATCCAAATTCTATCAGCTCAGGTTTCCAACTAGTATAAATTTATGTCTTCCGTTATGAATTGAATCGATCGTGAATTCCCGATTCCAACTCAAGACTTGGATTTATGGCAGGTAACCGAGTCAACGGACTTCACGGAGTTGACGAACGAGCATCCATGGCTTTCCTCCACCAAACTCGTCGTCAAGCCGGACATGCTGTTCGGGAAGCGCGGACGCTCTCAATTTGGACATTGCGCAAGTCGCCGAGTTCGTCAAAGCGCGTCTCGGCGTCGAGGTTGAAACCAAAACTCTTCATCGTTGCTTTTTTCATTTCGTTAATTCTTCTTCCTCGCCTGAACTTTGTATTCGGATTGGACGTTTCGTAGGTTGAGATGGGAGGTTGTAAGGCGCCTATAACTACTTTCATTGTTGAACCGTTTGTTCCTCACGACCAAGAGTATTATCTCTCCGTTGTTTCTGAGAGGCTGGGCTCCACCATCAGCTTCTCCGAATGCGGGGGCATTGAAATCGAAGAGAACTGGGATAAGGTCTTATTCGTATATGGTTAAATTAAATTGGAACAGTCTTATTGTTTTATTTGCTGTTTCTTATTTGTTGCCGAATTTTTGCTTCATTTCTGCAAATGTAATCCTCATGAGCTGGGGCTGGGATGATTGACTGTTAATTTTCAGGTTAAAACTATATTCCTTCCGACAGAAAAGCCGCTGACTCCAGAGGCATGTGCGCCGTTGATTGCTACACTTCCTTTGGAGGTTCGTGTTTTGGCAAATCCCTTATGTTGCCAATTTCTTGTGTGTTTGCGCGGGAACTTGTATCGTGTTGAGCATTCAAAGAATTAATGGTCTAAAGAACCGCTC